CTGTACAGTAGAAGCCATTTTACAGCAGTACAGTAGAAGCCATTTTAAGGCACAATAGGCTGTATCTTAACAGAACACACACACCAAGGGTTTTTAGGGGTGTTTTACCCCCACAGTATTTGTTTCCAGAGAGTAAGTCATCTGTGTACCAAGTTTGGTTGAAATTGCTCGAGGCGTTCCAGAGTTATGCTGGAACATACACACGCATATAGATTTTAACCATTGGTTTACACATACTTGATTTTATTAAATTATCATATGCCAGGAAAATCATCTAAGAACACAGGTGGAAGAGGAAATATACTGCTTATTAGACATATCCAGAATTTCTTGTGGAGCAAAAATTGAAAATATTTCAAATCAGGAGTAAAGAATCAGATTCATATCTTTGACAGAAGAGAAGTAGCCATTATCACTTGCAAGCATCTTTATTTCATAGGTAATTCATCTACAGTGGCTATTTTCTTTTAAAAAAATAACTCTCTAGAAGCTTGTAAGTATGAGCCCCAAACAGTTTATTTTTCACCTAAAGAAAGAGAAGCCAACGTGTTCCTGGCAAAATTCCTTGCAATAATCACAGAGCATTAGAGTACATTTGGGAGTAGATTTCTACTTAATCTTCAACAAAAAAGAAAAAAAAAGAACTCACCAGCCACTCAATGTATTTGAAAACAAAGCTGATGTCAATGCATTGTGTTGGGACTGATGACAAGGACTCCCTGCACTGGGCCGAACCATTTATTTCCAACTTCCTGGGGGTGTGGAGAATAGATTTAGGACAGGTAGATTTTTAAAAGGGTGAAACTTACCTATGAGCACAGAGCTTCCTTGGCTCAATATTTTTCTTGTTCCTGAAGGAGATGTTATCACTGAAGGAATGCCTGGCCCCGCAAGGGACAGAGTGGCTGCCATGTCTTCAAACTGAGGAGGGAGCTGCGGTGGGTCTGGGAATATATTACAGAGACAAAGATACAATAAGGCACTTTCTCTCTGCAGATGAGATTAATTCCTAATGTTATTTAGTAATCCTTTCAGAAAGACTTAATCTTGGTGAAATGAATGGGTTTTAAAAGAAGCCAACTTGTAAAAAAAATGCTGTATGCCAGAGAGATGGATAAGGCAGAAATAGAGAGAGAGATGGAAGAGGAATTTCTACAAGCTAAGAAAACTTGTGTCAACATTTTGTTTTAAAAAAGGGCCAAAGTCATGCCCTGAAAAATAAGATCTGCCAAGGCTATTGACGTATGGTTTGGGAATGCAGCACAAGGTTTCCAGAAGGGGCACGCACACCTCCTCAACAAATCTACAGTAGCTTTCACTTCACCTAGCCTGCTGTCTTTCTCTTCTCAAGCAGTGTAGAGTAAAAGTGGCACAAGCATGTTATTAGGCAAGGAAATCTATCACCAAGTATCATAAATCAGCCCCAGGAATACATTACCACTCAGGCTCTGGACCTGACAATGCCTTTCTAAATCACCCAGCTAAGCTCAAACTGTTTCCTATTGAGAAATGTAAGACAAAGTAAACTTCACCCTCTGATGACCCGTTGAATATTAAAACAAAAAACTAAAAACTCGGGCAGACTGAATTTATGCATTTGTCATCAAAGTGTGAAATTGGTAGGTGTCACTTTGCAATTTGTTACAGGTCCGGCTTCTCCAACAACAGAAAACAGGAGGATAGTGTTTTTCATGGAGGGAAGCTTGCTATATGGAGAAAGGATCTCTTCTGCCTTCAGACCCTTGGAAAAGCTGCAGAAAAATTCCCAGAGTTGATTGATCCTCCCCAAACCCTGCCTGAACCCAGTGCAAGAGGTGTCACTCTCAGGTCTCAGGGATGTCAGTGGGAGTTGGGGATGTGTATGAGATTGTTCAGCCAAGTTTAAAGGTCTGGCCTTCCGACATATTTCATGTTAAGTGGGGGACAAGAGTAAAAGAATTATATTCCAAGGACATTTGTTATAGATGCCCTCTTGTAATTCACGGTAATCAGTGGCTTTTTTTATTTTTGAAACAATAACAACAGAGATTTCTTTCTTTCGCACCACTACACAAGACAATTTTTATTCTCATGGTTGCCAGGTAAGAGCAAAGCAGAGGGAAATGGCTGGTCTGAAGGTGAGAAAGATTAATGGTTCTTGAGCCCATATCCCTGATGCACCCCTAAATATTTTAAATCTTGGTTTATCGTGAAGTCTTAAATGGACTCAAAAATAAAACTCATTCAATTGAATTATTAGCAGGCACATATTTTGGAATGCTGTCTTTCATGGCTCTACTGTTTAAATATCAGATAGCATTCTTGTGCTTCGGTGAAGAGGCACAGAAAACAGTTGCTATACTACATGTAGTCCTCGACTTATGACAATTGAGCCCCAAATTTCTATTGCTAAGTGAATTTTCCCCCATTTTATCATCTTTCTTGCCACAGTTGTTAAGTGATTCACTGCAGTTGTTAGGTTAGTAACACTGTTGTTAAGTGAATCTGGCTTCCCTATTGACTTTGCTTGTCAGATGATCGCAAAAGGTGATCACGTGACCTTGGGGCACAGCAAGGTCATAAGTATGATGTCAGGATTCCAAGTAACAACCCGAACCAAATAAGACTCTGAGGCTCGAAGTTCCTCAAAGTTCCATTTTAGTAGAGATGTCATATTGGCACATCTGGGAAAAGCCGAATCTGAAAGCTTCCAGTTTTTCCCCACCCAAAAGAAAGTCCAAGCACCTACCTAGGACCCATATGTCCATCATATAGTCCAATCAAAGAACCATCCCAATTGGAGATTCCTCCCAGTCACACCCCTCAAGGTGCAGGGCAGAATGTCCTTGACTCTCGGAGAAAGGAATGATATATGACTATCTACAATCCCCCCCTTCCAGTTTCCCACAGGCTAAATGTGGCAGGCCTAAAGATCCAATGCCCAAGATGGCTTCCAGGCCTGACATATAAGTCAGTTGCCAAGCATCTAAATTTTGATCAGTGTCCATGGGGAAGCTATAAAGGTTGCAGGTGTGAAAAACGGTCATAAATCACTTTTTTCAGTGCTGTAACTTTGAACAGTCACTAAATGAACTGTTGTAAGTTGAGGACTACCTGTATTATCCAGTAGTCTTACACAGACTGTGGTAGTCCAGATTTGGTAGCACTAGGCATACAAATATGATATGCATTATTTAAAATGAAAATTGGGTCACTTTTCCAATGGAGAGAGATGGTGTCAATAAATAGTAGGTTTCAAGCATGTGGAATGCTACAATTTCTCCAAAGCCCAATTCTGAGGAAAGTATTTGCTATGGGATCAAAGGACATTTGTGAAAAAGTCCTATTAATTATCAGTTGGAAAGTTGGTCCTAACATCATTATATTTTGTAGAAGCTTGAATTCTTTTCATGATTTTTTCTTCTTTCATTCAATCATGTTCATTTTTCAGAGACTGCCCTGCTGACCGCCCCTTCCTTTTTAAAAACAAGGTAGGAAGTTAGCACCTACCCCTCTCCTAGGAAAATGAAATATTTTAGGAAATATTAAAAGGACAGAATATTTCCCCTAAAAGGGAGGCAGAAACTCAGAACCCCACCTTTGTCAATGGGCCATTAAAGCCTGAGTCAATCTATTCTACATAACAAAGATCTATCTCCTTCAGGCAAAGACATCGTAGGAATTGCCCAAAACCCTTTCATTACATCATCATCCAGCAAGGCTCAACCAAAGTTGGGACTCATGGCCCCATGGGAGTCTGACAACCAATCAGAATACAAGTTCAAATTTAAAAGCCCAGAGTGGGCATAAAACCAGGGCACTCTCAGCATCTCTTCCATTTCCCCTCCGAGGACCTCAAATCATGTGATCCTGTCCATCATCAATAAACCTCCTTTCCAAGCAACTTCCATGAATCCAGGGTCTTTCCCCCCACTTAGAATTGAACCCAGAAGGACATTTCTTCCAACACAAGGTTTTCCAGAAATGGTCTGCCATTGCCTCCTTCATGGGGATGAAAGAGACCAACTGGTCCAAGTCCATCCAACTGGCTTTATGCCTAAGGCAGGACAGGAACTCACAGTCTTCCTGTTTCTAGCCTGATGCCTTAACCGCTACACCAAATTGGCTTTCTTTCTCATGATCAAAATATTAGCGTGAAAGAGGTAAATTCCTTGAGTGCTCCAATTATTTATCAGTTCCCCTCACCGGAAAATGCAGTATTCATTAAAAAAAAATCTATACATGATTTCCCCCAATTAAATTATACTCCTCCTCCTTTGATCACAGGTTTTCTGGTTGGAGAGAAAAAAATGACAAAAGATATGAATTCTTGAAAAGATTGCATACTGTAACTTACCGAGGACTAGGAGCTGTGTGCTTTCCGTTACCTCCCCGCGGATGTTGGCAGCCCTGCAAGAATACAACCCTTGGTCGGAGAGAGATACGTTTTGAATCAGCAGTGACCCATCAAGGATGTGAAGGTCAGGGGCCATCTTGATTTTGTTCCTGAACCAGGTAAGTTCTGCCTCAGGCACACCTGATGTAGGAACACAATAAAATAGAGACAAACACAAAGAATATCCATTGTGAACTTTTTGCAAAGAGCATTGATGTGTGGTACCATAGCAACGTATCGTTCTACAGTCTATTTTTGTTGTTGTTTAATAGTGCAGAATTTTTTTTAAAAAAAGTGTTTTCAATATATGAAGGTTCTAGATATGTTGCTTTCGTGTCCCAAAGGTGCTTTTTCAGGAGACAACTGGACTTTCTTGGTTTTTCTTTGAACATGTTTTGCTTCTCATCCAAGAAGCTTCTTTAGCTCTGACAGGATAGTAAATATAACCTCGGACTGGTCCTGCCCCCCATCTATTTTCTGCCTCCTGAGTCCCAGCTGACCGCGAGGGAATGGGGATTTTGCAGTAACCTTCCCCTGGAATGGAGATTTTACTTCCCCTGCCATACCCACCAAGTCACACCATGCCCACCAAGCCACGCCCACAAAACTGGTAATAAAAATGTTTGAATCCCACCACTGGACACAGCATTCTCAAAGAGGACACTGCCTAGCCTGATCTTCCTCTTGCTGGAATGTAGAGGGAGATTTTGTGACCACAACTGAGCTCAACAATTCTGTTCCTAAGGAAGAACAGAACACTTTAAGTGAATTTTGCCCCATTTTATGACCTTTCTTGCCACAGATGTTAATCACTGAATCACTGCAGTTGTTAAATAACTAGCATAGTTGTTAATTCAATCTGGCTTTCCCATTGACGGCTTGCCAAAAGGTTGCAACAGGGGATCACACGACCTGTGGACACTGCAGCAGTCATAAATATGAACCAAGCATATGCCAAGGGTCTGAATGTTGATCAAGTGATCATGGGGATGCAACAATGGCTGTAAGTTTTAAAAAATGGTCATAAATCACTTTTTTTCAGTGCCATTGTAACTTCATTAACAGTCACTAAATAAGCTGTTGTAAAACGAGGACTACCTGTAATCTCTCTTGTCCTGTAGTCTGGGCCTGGATTGCTCTTATAATTATTACTGGAATTAGCTGATCCACACAATGAAGCTTATTGGGTCTACTACATATCCTTTCTCTTTTGTCCTGTGGTTGGCCAAGCTTTAAGGGGCAATTTTAAGTAGGCAAATAGCAGGGGAAGATCTAATTTTTCTCTCTTCTAATGCTTTGGCCCTAATTCAACCTTTGCCTTCACTGGTTGTAAAAATAAAGAAAAATAAATAAATTGGGATATGCGGTCTAATCTTCCTGATTACATCTAATTTCATTCTTACTGAGATGCCTATAGCAAAGAGAGATATCCAATCCTATTCAGCAATCTTGCATAGGATGGGATTTACAATAAATGATTGCACTTTATCTTCTGCCCGTCTGCTTTTCCTTATCCTCACCATCCGTCACTCTTTTGGTTTCATCATTTTTTTTAAAAAAAATCTTCTTGCTTAGTTTCATTCCCTTTTCCTGTGGTCTCCCCTCCATTATGTTAAACAAAGGTGTGTATGGGTTTTTGTTTTTAGTTTCTGGCAGAGGGAGTCATTTTTTCTTGTTGATTTTTATTTCTGCAAACTCTTGGGACTCAACTTGAAGGAAACACAATTACTTCTTAGTGGCACTATTCTGCACACCAAGTTTTTGGCATAGGCAGCCTGCCCTGAGATTGTCACAATTGGTGACAACTGATCTGGCGATTTAGTGGCAAGGCACAATCAACTGGAAATATAACTCACCTTCAGCCTTGCAGAAAAGTCCAAAGTGAGACAGGAAGGCATAAATTATCCCCTGCAACAGTCTAACATTACTCTCGCTCACAGATATCTGCAATGCATTTTTAATCTCAGGCTCACCTATTTCATTTTCAAACTTCCTTACTTTGTGTTTGTATTTCATGGTTTACAGCCAGATTTACCGTGTGAAACAAAATCCTGTAACACTGGCTCTCATCGAGGCTGCACAAACAACAGGGAGGGGATTTTATCCGGCTACAGTTCTGGGTAAAATCTGGCGGCTCTAACCTACAGCGCTATTTGATACAGAACAGTGCATATACCCAGATTTTAAACCTTCTCTATGATTACCTGTATTATCCATTCCCTTCCCTCAAGGTAAACACAAATCAATCAAATTTATATGTTCCATCTGCAGGAAGCCATTGCATGGGAAAAGGAAGAGTCAGGAATAAAAGAGAATATAGTCATTAAGTTTTCAAACTCAACGGGTTGAGTTTTACTCCAACATGCTAAAAACTTCCCTTTGAAGACATGGCAGAAATGAAGATGTAGTAGCTGCTTCAGCTTTAATTGTAGGCAGCAGGAGAGATTGTCTTAAATTATAGTACTTTATACACACACACACACACACACACACACACACACACACACACCACCGAAAGTGTAATTTATCATCCACAGTCTTAATAGGAAATGAGGGAGAATACAAGTAGTCCTCAACTTACAACAGTTCATTTAGTGACCATTCAAAGTTACAATGGCACTGAAAAAAGTTACTTATGATGTTTTTTCACACTTATGACCATTGCAGTGTCCCCCTAGTCACGTGATCAAAATTCGGATGCTGGTTCATGTTTATGACAGTTGCAATGTCGCTGGGACACTTTTGCAACCTTCTGACAAGTGAAGTGAATGGAAAAACTGAGATTCACTTAACAATCGTGTTACTAAATTAACAACCGCAGTGTTTCACTTAACAGCGATGGCAAGAAAGGTTGTAAAATGGGACAAAATTCATTTATCAAATGTCTCGCTTAGCAACAGAAATTTAGGGTTCAATTGTGGTCATAAGCCGAAGAGTATCTGTATATCAGGAGACATAGTCTTATTGGCCATCATCCCTGGACAGCTTACAGCAAGTTTCATCTGTACTCAAAAGAGAAAGTATGAATGATACAAAAGAAATCATATCCCCAGCTGGAAGAAGAATATTTCAGGTACCTCTGGACCAAAAAATGATGTAGAAACAATTCACTAATTCGTTGTCATTAAGGATTATCCTTTTGGTGGGCTGTATCATCCATCAAATACAAAGTATCACTTTCCGTCCCTTGTTCTACCCAATTCTTGTTTTCTGCTCTTATAACTCACTCCTATAGGTCCCAAGGCCAGAAATGTTCAATATGGAATAATACCTTATGATCCATTCTCTCATATTAGCTTACAATTTCCTCCCCTCTCCCCATAAATTCCAAGATGGCTGAAGGAAAAACACTTAAGGCTTTACTCTATGATAATCCAGAAATGTCAGTAAAGTTGGCAACTCTGATCCAAACTGGACATGGTTTCTCATTTCGTGAACTCCTGCTTGTTTCCAAGACTGATGCCAAGGCCTGGTATTAACCTGCAACATCTTTCAAAGCAGGAAGCCACAATTCCTGAACATATTCCTTCCAGAGTCCAGAAATAAAAATATATGTTACAAATCACTTCGTATATTAAAATATGGCAGAGAGGCACATTTTTTATTATTTTGATTGCCTTTTCTAAATTATGGATTGCTTTCCCAAAAAATGAGCTCTTTAGTAGGTTTACTCAAAATGTAATGGAATAGAATAACAGAGTTGGAAGGGACCTTGGAGGTCTTCTGGTCCAACCCCCCGCCTAGGTAGGAAACCCTACACCACTTCAGACAAATGGTTATCCAACATCTTCTTAAAAACTTCCAGTGTTGGAGCATTCACAACTTCTGGAGACAAGTCGTTCCACTGATTAATTCTTCTAACTGTCAGGCAATTTCTTCTGACAAGTTACGTTGTTCAGAAAAGGCAAAGAGGTAAAATCTGGGCAGATTCTGACAGGTTTTGGAGGTTCTGGAGAACCAATAACGTGAATTTTGAGTAGTTTGGAGAACTGGCAAATGCCATCTCTGGCTCCCCCCAGAGTTAGGTGGGAATGGAGATTTTGCAGTATCCTTCCCCTGCCACACCCACAGAACTGGTAGTAAAAAAATTTGAATTTTACCATGGCTAAGCTGGCTCATAAAAGTTTGATTCATAGGCACTTCCCTGATGTTCTAGTACCGTGATGGCGACCCAATGGCATATGTGTCAGAAGTGGCACGCAGTGGGCACACGAGCCTTCGCCAGTTCAGCTCTGCTGTACATGTGTGCATTCCTCCCGACAGCCAGCTGGTCTTCAGGTCTCTGCCATGCATATGCAGGGGGAAGGGCACATGCATGTGGGGTGCGTATGCATTGAATTTTGGGGGTTTGGGTGTGTACGCATGCATTTGCATGCACGCTTTGGGCACTTGGTCTGGAAAAGTTTAGCCATCACTGTCCTAGTACGTTTGCTGTTCTTTGTTATTTTGACTTGCACTAATATAGATTTCAAATTATGTTGTTGTCATAATGAGTATCTCTAATCTTAAAACAGAGTTCACTAAATAGAACCTTAAGTTGCCTTATCAGATAAGCTACATTTCAATCTTCAGTTGTGCAATATAAAGATTTTCTCCTAAAAGCAGAGTTGGAAAGCAGGTAGATGCATGATTCATTTTTGGGTAAAACAGAACTAAAGTGTCCTATGGTTAATTGAAAGATGAAGGCCTTCTTGGTTAATAAATTGAAATGATGGTGGTCTTTGTCATGTTCCAAACCTATGAAACTACCTTATACCGATTTAAACCATTGTTTCATCTCACTCAGAATCTTCTAAGTAAGCTGACATGCCACAAATTAGGGGAATTAGGCTAAAACACTTGAAGAATGGTTGTAGGAACTGGGCATGGCTAGTCTTGAAGGCCAGATATGGAACAATGGCTGGAAACTGATCAAGGAGAGATTCAACCTAGAAATAAGGAGAAAATTTTTGACAGTGAGAAAAATCAACCAATGGAACAGAAGTTGCCTTCAGAAGTTGTGGGTCCTTCATCACTGGAAGCTTTCAAGAAGAGACAGCCATCTGTCAGAAATGGTATAGGGTCTCCTGCTTCAGCAGGGGGTTCGACTAGATGACCTTCAAGAGACCCTCCAATTCTGTTATCCTATTTAACTTAGCTTGGAACTGTATTTCAGATCTGCATTAAACTAGGCTCTTCCACATGAGCACTGCAGAGCAATCCTTAGCAATCCAATAAAATGCTTTGGTGAGATATTTCAAATCGGATGTAATGAAACCTAAATGCAGAACTTTAAGCCTACTCATTAATATAATTATAACAGACCTGCAATTTGGCAGCTAATGGTCACATTTACTCCTGGAATTGTTTTCACTGTGCTTCCGATATCCACAGAAATCGTCGGCAAGTTTTGGTTGGTCACGGTGTTTCTTGATGTCTTTATCAGTGGTTTCCCTGAAAAGACACCACAAATTATAAAACAAATAAGACAAGAAAAAAGCACAGGCATAGTTACAACTTATCAATAAAGAAGAACACTTGTAGCTCAGGCTTGAAGTGAGGGGTCGGTGCTCTCTGAGCTTGCTTGTTTTCTTGCAGATGTTTCATTTCCCCAACTAGGTAACAACTGATGATGTTACCTAGTTTGGGCAATGAAACTTCTGCAACGAAACGAAGACTCTCAGAGAGCACCAAGGACCCCTCATAACAACTTAATTTTATTTATTTGTCAGATTTATACCAGTAAATGATTTCTGCTGAGCTAAGCGATGAAAACAGCATACAAACCTGATTACTAAGATGAATAGAAGTAAACTACAATGGAAATAATAATGATCTTGGGAGGGACAGCTTCAAAAACCATTGACAATTTGTATATGATTGTAAGCAACGTATCAGTTTATAAATAGATACTTTATAAATATCTCTTGCTTTTATAATCCCAGATACCCAGATATATATTAAGATTTATTTTGCACAATTCCCTTGATCAAGCAAATTGGCTGTAGAAATAGAGAAATGAAAGCCAGTTGCATCAATAAATCAGAATGTAACTAAAGCTATTATCTGCCTAATTAAATCACAGTCTTGACATCTAATTGTATGCAGATACTAGACTCACTTTGATTACTTTTATAATGCTAATTTAAATTATCCGTATGTTTTTCCTTAAGGTCTTATGTGCTTGACTTTCATCTTTGGAAATTTCCATATGGGGCGCCTGGAAACTAAAGCAGTATACTTCTGGTCTAAATTGATGATCTAAAAATAAGAATGTTGCAAAGTTTAATGAATCGTAGCAATCTCACATTGTCGGGAGGGAGGCAGAGTGTGAGAGAGAATCCTACAAATATATAAACCTTAATGCAGATTTTGGGGACGTGGTGGCTCAGTGACTAAGATGCTGAGCTTGTCAATTAGAAAGGTCAGCAGCTCAGTGGTTCAAATCCCTAGCGCTGCCTAACTGAGTGAGCTCCCAATACTTGTCCCAGCTTCTGCCAACCTAGCAGTTTGAAAGCATGTAAAAGTGCAAGTAGAAAAATAGGGACCACCTTTGGTGGGAAGGTAACAGCATTCTGTGCCCCTTCGGTGTTTAGTCATGCCAGCCACATGACTACAGAGATCTCTTCAGATAGCGCTGGCTCTTCGGCTTTGGAATGGAGATGAGCACTGCTCCCCTAGAATTGGAAATGACTAGCATGCTTGTGCTAGGGGAACCTTTACCTTTACCTAATGTAGATTCACCTATCTGCATTCTGGTCATCCACTTCATGAAATCTGAATATGGGTTAAGTCCTGAACGCTGGCTGATTTTGTGGGGCCTCTGATGTGAGCTTGTTCATAGGCCATCAAAAGGAGAAATGGGTGGGGTTGCATAATTCATGAGCTTGGGCCAAGACAGGAGCCTATAATGTCTAAAAAAAATAATCCTTTATAAATCTACAATAGCAGGAAGGGAAAGAATTGGCAGAGAAATGATGGTTGTAAGTTGAGAAGGAAGAGGAGGAGGAAGAATTATGGGTGCTTTAGTTGGCAGCATCAACTAAAAATATGGAAATCTGATTTTGTTTCTACGCCTCCCCTTCCCCCAATACATATGTCACTATTTAACAGAAATCCATAAGCCACCATAACAGCTAAAATATACTTTCATGTATAACATGGCTGTATTTCAATCCCCATTCTGTAGAAGAAAGCCACGAAAGCATGGCAGCTTTTGTTTATATCATTTGCATGAAGAGTCCTTTAAATGTCAATATAAAGAAATATCCAGCCACAAACATGTTCTACTGAGTCATGAAAAGTTCACACAGTTCTCATATTTTATTGGGTGCTCCTAAATCACAGAGAAAGAGAGACCTCAACTGGCAACTGGTCTTTTAATTCACTGGGTTTTCCCCCACCACGATCTTCTCATTAGATTAAATACTTGTTTGCTGTTAGCCTATAAAAAGCAATTTGTCATTCCAAAAATGGAAACATTTGCCCTTTACAAACTCATGTGTTAAATTAATCAATAAGCCAAGTGTTTCATTCAGCCTGAACCAAGATTTTCTACTTCCTCTGAGGAGTCCAGCCTTCCCCTCCTTCACCGCAATGTTGTTTTAATTGCACATTATCACATTCGTAAACTTGGTGTCCCGATTTGAAGCTGCTGAATGACTGGATACCTGTGGCTCGTGTTTGACAGATGAGGCTATTCAGAAGCTGCCCAAAAGCAGCTTTGCATTTAGAAAATTTGACCCAGGAGATTTTGCACTTCCTAATTTGTTTGCATGAGAAAATGAAATCAAGGCACGGACTATGTTGTTGGAAAAAACTGTTGCTGGTTACTGAAAACCTGCAAACCATCTAAATGTGTGTGTCTTATGAACTTACACGCGTGCATGTATCAGACAGTGATCGATTAGGCTCCATGAATTGGCTTGGATCGAAACTGTGGTTTGAAGGAAGAGGCTTTCCTTCCAAAACTCTAAAGTCTAAAGTTAAAGCCTTTGGAATGTGCCCATTGGGAATAGACGAACTGCAAAGACTCTTTACAGCCTGGATTGCTATAGCATTAAACTTTAAAATTCAAGCATTTACCTGGATCAGAATGAATTAATTACTTCAATGCTTTCACTTGTGTTGCTGTTAAATCTATGTTGTTTTACCATATTTGTGTTTTTAAGGAGAAGCAGCTGTATTGATGGTTTTTTTGGGGGGAGGGGGAAATGTCTGTCACAATGAATGTAATAGTGAAGTTTAAGGATGAGATATTAATGTTTGGTGAATTGACATTTCTAGAACTGTCAGATGGCCTGATCAACATATCCAAAGTAAACCCCATGTCAGCTTCATCGTCTGCGACATCTGAGGCTGCCACTCAGGTGTGCTGGGTTCCTACTATTGTTCTGCTGACTGCTGGAGCCCCAGGACTGCTGGAGTCTCACTGAAGCATCGCTGCCTTTCTCCCCATTCAGCTTCGCATCCGAGCTTCGGGCCGGCTTCCGCAAGCCACCAAACAGCAGAAATGGAGGCCGCACTTATCAGCAAGCCAGGAAGCATGATGCAATGTAATCGAGGCTTACAGAGGCGGTGATCATCAGTGATGATCAATGGGGACGTGTCTAACTGTCCGACTGAAGCTTATCTTTAATGGACGGAGGAACAGGCCAGTGGGGAGGGGATTGCTTGGGAGGTTCTTGGATGTATGTATTCCAATAGGACCCTGGTGATGGGCTCAGGGGGAGGGAAAGTGGAAGTGTAGGAGGGATTGGTCACTGCGTGCTGGGTGGGGCTCAACAGGTTGGCTTATAAGATGGAGGGGAGCACAGAGCTGCAGCTCCAACAATTATTGCATTATCGCAAGAATTTGATGGTCAGTTAGTACCGGTGTGATAAAGAAGCATGAAAACCAAGATTGGTGTGTTGTTTTTTCCATCGGAACCTTGACATCCCACTTTTCTCTGGAGTAATCTTGGCATCTAAAGCAAACTGAGAAACATGTATCAAGCCATGATTTTTGATTGTGAATTATTTAAATCGACTACAGTTTAAATACAGTTTCTGCTTCTATCTTGGAAACTATGACAAACAGAGATGAGTTCAAAACAGAATAGATCTGATTTTGTGCCAGAAAAAGAGGATGGTGATAAGGTGGCAGCTTTGCAGATACAATGCTAAAAGTAGCTTAATATTACGCCTAAACTAGATCAGAATCTGGATCCTGGGTCAGAAAAAAGTATCAGTTAACTATCAGTTAGACACCAAGATCACTCCAGAGAAAAGGTTTAGAAAGGATTGCATGCAAACTTCTAGATAAGTCCCCAGTGGGGTTTACTCCAGATATGATGAACAGGCCATCTGACAGTTCTATAAATGTCAATTCACCAAACACTAATATCTCATCCTTAAACTTCACTTTTATGTTCATTGTGGCAGACAGTTCCCCCATCCACCCCATGCTTACTTTAGGAGCTACTTTGTCTGAAGTAACTCCATACATACTGGTTTAAATACTACAACTATACCCAAACCTTTAAATACTTCAGATCGCATGATAAATCTTTTGGAGCAGAATTCAAAGTTGTTTCTAACTTTCGTGGCTCATAACTGTAGCATTACAGGCTATTTTTCTTTCCACACAAGCCTATCATCACACTGCCATTTGTTTGGCAATCCTACCTATATCCATAACAAGGGTATAAGGAACTAAAAAAACTCTATGATTTGTAAAGCTTGAGATGAAACCTTCGTGTGTATATGTACATGAGCGCACATGTGCCTTGGAATGTGTGTGCCTGGATTAGTTCCTGCAGTTTTCGCAATTGCATTTTTGGAAGTGCCTTGCCACTGTCTTCTTCTGAGGGCTGGCAGGGAGTGATTGGTCTGAGTCAATCAGCTGACTTTGGGCCTAAGGTTAGACTGGACTAGAACTCAAGAGTCTCCTGTTTTCTTACCTAATGTCTTAACTACGACACTAAACTGGCTGTCTTAATACTTCTGTGTCCTCTTCATAACTTCTAAGATTTATGTTTATCCCAGAACGTTTGTACATAGCATATCGATTCATGAGTTCAACTAAACGTATATCAATGTTCTTAGAGACAGCCTACTAAAAGATACCGTGTTTCTCTGAAAATAAGACCAGGTCTTATATTATTTTTTGCTCCAAAACACGCATTAGGACTTATTTTTTGGTTTGGTCTTATTTTCAGGGAAATGCAGTACTAAATGCATCCATCTGCGTGACAATCTTAACTAGGGGTTATTTTTGTGGTACAACTTATATTATGAGCATCCTGACAAATCATGCTAGGTTTTATTTTCTGGTTGGGTCTTATTTTGGGGTGAAACAGGGTAGCTACATTCTCTCAGGTTAAAAGAACTAGGAAGACAGGCACCTCATATATCTGGGGAAATGCACACTTTGCTTAAATACGAGGGGTAATACCGGGAGCTGTTTTTCTTCTGACTACTTTTGGAATTCTAGAGGCTCTTTATTGCAACTGTTCATCCAAATAATTAAGGCCACATTATACAGAGCAAATGTATTGATACCTAGCCAAAAACCGTTGATGCTGATTTGCAACAGCTAGCAGTTCTCCAGGTTATTAGGTAGCACTTTTCAACAAGAGGGGATCCAGATTCTAACCTGACACCTCCTGTTTGTTAAACATGAGATCCACCACAGAACCAAATTACATTTGGGATAAAACAATCTGGAATGGATAAACTTTTGGAATGATCTAGCCAGACTCTTTTCATTTTCTTATTCTGTAACTTTGCATGTTACTAAAAGCTACTTGCTGGCCAAGCACCTAAAGAGTTTAAAGCAAGCACAATCTCACAGCGTCACTGCTCTTCCCAGAAAGGGTTTCATTAATGCTGATCCAAGTGAACAAAGATTTAATTTGTCGTAGAACTGAACTGTTGGTGTAAACAAGAAACTTAATCTGTTCTGAGCTTTCGCTTGCCAGTGACGGGAAGTGTGCCAGCCATGCTTTGGCTGCAAGAAGGGGAAAGAAAGAGCTTGACCTTACAAGATGTTGACTGAGCAGATAACATGCAATCCAACCAATTATTTAGAGCAATGCTTAACTTCAGGAATATGAGGAATCCTACTGACTCTCAGGAGATCACTATTAGTTTGGCTTCAGAGCTAATGAGATGTCTGGTTCTTTTACAATTCAGTCTAAGAGAGAAAGATTTATAGAAAAAATTGGAGCCACCACCAAGCATTAAACAAAATATAAAGAGGTCAAAACATCCTACTCTGATGGATTTAACAAATTAAATCCTTATCATTCTACTAAAAGGGGGAAATAGTCATAAAAGCAAAATATGGCAGTGAGATCAGACCAAAAGACAGGTTTTTAAAAGACTTTCAGCCTAAAAATGTAATAAAGGTAAATCCATTACTGTGTTATAATTATTTTGGTCAAGACATCAGTATATTTCAGCAGCCACTGACTGATTAAATCTTTACATTTGAACTAAAATATCAAAATCAATTCCTCTCTGTGCCAAAATACATAGAGATGATAGAAGTGGGAAAATGGAACAAAAAACATGGCACATGTTTTAATATAACCATCTTAAATAATCATCTCAGCAATAATATTAAAATATAAAAGTCAGTGTATATTACAAAGGAAACTACAGGACACCCCAGAATTAAGCGATTTAAAACCCTCTTTCTGCATATCAAAATGTTAGTATTCCCATTTCACCAGCCTCATTTTCTTTTATATTAACATTTATAAGAGACGTGGTGGCTCAGTGGCTAAGACGCTGAGATTGTTGATCAAAAAGGTGGGCAGTTCAGTGGTTCAAATTCCTAGTGCCACGTTATGGAGTGAGCTCCCGTTACTTGTCCCAACTTCTGCCAACCTAGAAGTTTGAAAGCATGTAAAAATGCAAGTAGAAAAATAGGAACCACCTTTGGTGGGAAGGTAACAGTGTTCCGTGTGCCTTTGGCATTTAGTCATGCCAGCCACATGACCACAGAGACATCTTCGGACAGCGCTGGCTCTTTTGCTTAGAAACGGAGATGAGCACCGCTCCCTAGAGAATGACTAGTACATATGTGTAAGGGGAATCTTTACCTTTACCTTATTCCCATTTCACCAGCTTCTTGCTTAGTTTCAGAGTCTCAGTGTCAGGGCCTAGTGGAATTATAAAGGTGGAGGAGCGTTCTGATAGGAGACACTAGCTACCAAATTGAAGACCAAGTATAATGGTTCAAGGGACAGATGTCAATATATAAATAGTAAAACATAAATCAAAGTACTTCCTGGATCTGGCACCTGACTTCAATGACTACTTCTGGAAATTTTAAAACAGAAGTGTCCCAATGGTGCTTTTTCAAGAGGCAACTGGACTTTCTGGAAGTCCAGTTGCCTCTTGAAAAAGCACCTTTGGGACAACCGTGACCTGGATGACTGAGAATCTCCATAGACATTTGGCGACTAAAACAGGAGTATGTTTTAGAATCTTGAAAGAATGCCAAACCTAATTCTTGGCAAAGCTCTTTGATTTTAACATAAGGAAATGCTCCGTTGACATTCTTCCATCCTTGAAATTCGGGCATATATACCCCTCACATGACAAACCCAAAATAAATTCTACAAAACTATAAACTTCACTAATGCCATTTAAACTGCCGTGGCCCTCTCTGCAAATAATACTAGAAAATGAAAGAGTTAAAAATATCAAGCTAGCATTTCATGTCTCGTGAAATTTTTAGAGCAAGACATCAAAATTGGGGAAAACATCAATAAACAAAGTTAAAGTTAAATAAAGTTTTTTAAAAACTCCAACATTGGTAGGATTTTTAAACTTGGAGGTTATCTCGCTACAGGCTTGTGCTTAAAACTGGCAAGAACACAGAATTTCCATGTTGTGTAAAGTGCCGTAAATGTGTTACCTGCTAATGTGATGGCAATGGATACAGAGTCAGAACCCAACACATTGGTTGCATTGCAAGTATAGAAGCCTACATCAGCTTCGACTGGTTCCAGGATTTGCAAGGAGTCATCCGGTTGAAGAAGAATCCTGTAATGACATACAAATAAGTTAAGTCTTAAAAATTGGATGCCAAAAAATGTCAGAGTTTGCAGCAGCAATCACATCCGGAAAGCACACAAAGATAACTGTTTCAGCAAGATTCATTAACTTCTCTTTATATACCTAATAATATATGAAGTAATATACAATACCAAGAATGATTCTTCCAATGTGATAGAGTACCAGCAAACACAGGCAGAGGAGAGAACAGTTTTCAGTTTTTGTTCCAGCAGACGGACTAGTTTTTCCTTTAGCACAGACTCAGAGCTATAGTTCTAAGCCACGCCCAGACTTCTAACTGTCTCCAGCAAATACTGTTTCAGTTTCCAAACAGTCGTCATTGGCTGCCCTTGTTGCCTATTCCAGTCTATGAATATACTCTGACAGAAAATTATTACTCAGCACTTCTGGGTAAGACCTCAGAGGAAGAAAAAACACCAGCCAAAGGTTAAAGTTATTTGAATAATTGTATTCAGAATGACATTTTAAAAAAGATTTTTTTTCATCCTGTTTTTTTCATATATAACTCAAGATGGCAAATATACAGTGCCAGTACTGTTTGTTTATTTATTTATATTGCACTTTCATTATTTTTTCAAAACAACTCAAGGTGGAGGACATACTCATCACACTTTCCTCTTCTTATTTTTCCCACAACAACAACCCTATGAGGCCTGTGTCAGTGGTAGGATTTAACCGGTGCAACAAGTGAGTGTGCGCTTTGCGCATGGGCAGTCCGTTTGAAAACGGTTCTAAAACTTACTTTCTACTGCAGTCCCGGTGAGTAAAACAGCTGAGGTGCTGTAATCTGCTCTGCCGCGCCTAACAGCTGAGCTTCAAACAAAGGAAATATAGGACAGACTAGCACAGTGCAGGTGGGAGGGACCAACTGATTGCCGGAATTACCGGTTGCTGCGAACTGGTCTGAACCGGCTGAATCCCACCCCTGTTTGGTGTTGCTGAATGAGAATGACTGGCCCAAAGTCATCATAAAGTTATATTACAAACTTTGCAGATTCAGTTTTATTAAATCACAAGCAATATTTACCAATACCACAAAGCTAAGTGGATCATCTGTAGTCTGCTGTTATTTAAAATATGCACACATTACATTTTATCTCATATCAACCTTAATATTTACAAGCCATTGCATAGATGAGACATCTTGCTTCATCACCAACTTGAAAAATGTAAAGATAACAGCCAAATGTATAGCTGATATTTTTATTCCTCACACTGCCTGCCAAACTGGTCAGTACATTAAGTTCAGAGCCTCATGACTCTATTATATTTTGTTCAGAAAATAGTCATGTAATTGGTGTCCGGCCCCCATTCTGCATTTTCCTTGGAAAGTTGTCTTTATTAGTGCCCCATGAGGCAATAAGAAATACCATATTTAAACGGACTTGTTGTGAAACCTCCTTTCAAATGTACTCATCGTGTAAGTGTTAAAAATTAGGAGTTTCCGAAACTATTACAGGACAGATTCTATTGATTTTACCATGGTGCTCTTGACACTGTAAAATGTATATATTTGGAGGAATCTACTGATTGCACAATCAATGCTAGTGACAATGTATCTGAAATTATAACCCCAAAGCTTGACAACTCTTATCCTGCTCAAAATATTCCAATTTACCTTAGAGTAAAACTGAAGTTAAAATTCAGAATCTGGGTTTTGCCACAGAGGCATTACCTCTGAGAACAGGATATGGCAGCTCTTAGATGAAGGACCCTTAAAACTCAGTTGTATAAATTGGAATACAATTGGGTCATGGCAATATCTGTTCCAAAGTGATCTTGTATTTTAACCATCTTACAGTTAATGAATTTCTTAGTGCTTTTTCAGAGCTCCGCTTTGACATCCTGTCATCAAATGTAATAGAATGCAAGTTTCAGAAAAAAAAACCATATGCCCACAGGACTCAACCCTGCCAGTCAGAATACTGAATTCTGAAACAGAAGCCTAACTTGTGTTGCTCTGTCGCAACTTTGCAGAGAGTCCCATAGTGAACTCTAACCCCCTTTTTGGTTATTCCCTGGATGACCAGATAAAGACCCTAACACGGTGATGGGGAACCTTTTCTGCACCAAGTGCCAAAAAAGGGAGCCTGTGCATGCACATTTGTCCGGCCCGCAACCCAGAAGAAGAGCTACCAAGGGGGCATGCGCACACCGGAAAATAAAATTCCGATTTCTGGCATGCACACCGGGCAGATAATCTTTTGGTTACTGGCGCGCATGCACGCGTGACGATCATCTGGCCAATGCACATGCTCATGCTGGAAAACGGAAGACCGGCTCTTCCAGTTTCCAGCACTGCCGCATGCCTGAAAGCCAGCTGCATGTGTATCAGAAACCTGGAAGAGGAATGGGCAACGTCGCATATGACAGGTGACATGGCTCCATGTGCTACTTTGGGCATGTGTGCCATAGGCTTGCCATCACGGCTTTAACATAACATTATGCTTGCATTTGAGCCCTGCAGGTTATGTGCTTAAAGAGAGCCATTCCCAAACATTATTATTATATATAGCCTCATGATCCTTTTTTAAACTATGATTGTTAAAACCGACTGCAAAGTCTTGTAATTTTGAGGTGAGAAACAGAAGAAAACTTGAGTGGAACTAAAAAACAGGGATATCAGAATGGAAACCAAAGAATCTCTCTGTATGTCCTAAATTTTAGTTAATTTATGGCTCTACTGCTTTGCAGGCCTCTGATCAACCAAAATGTTAAATTGCTCCCTTTCCAGTTGAAATATATTTTAGAAGGCAATGATGAACTACTTCTGTAAAATTGCCAAGAACAAGAAAGTTTCCCACCCCAAGAGCATAGGGCCACCAAATATCTTTTCTGTGGCTCTACAGTTGGTGAATTGGTGAAGATATTCCAACAGAGATGGAGAAGGACAGAATAGCAGCTACTGGATGTAAGTACAACACAGCTAGGAGAGAGTGTGAACAACCCAAAAAAGGAAACTTTAAGCAGATTCTTTCTCTTTTTTCTTCTGCAATTTCCTCTGCTTCAAGAAGCTGTTTTTCATTTTTTTTTTAAAAGAAAGCTAAACATCATTTCTAATCTGAACCTGAATTGTTGGGTTTTCTAATTTACCGGTTATCTGCATTCTCTGTCACCCATGTTATACTGTGTAATTGCGATCGAGACCTGTGTAAATAACTCTTTAATTGATCTTAACTTAAGACAGAATAGGGATAAACAAGATGGTGCAGGCAACAAATAAAGAAATAAAATGCAAAGGGTGCATCTGATTAATTCAAGTCTGTTGAAAGACTCTCAGATGAATGAAATCTGGTGTTTCTTATCTCAGGAACCATTGCATCATTTTTTAAATGTATAAAAGTTTTTATAGTTGCCTAAAAAAAGAGTAAACAAAAAATAATATTCTTTATTCATCCTCATTGTAAAGAAAGACTAAAGGCTATGATGAATATGATGTAATTCATGCATAATCTCTTTGCATTGGACACATTTTTCATACTAAATTTGTGTGTATTTTAGTTGGTTTTGTGATCAGTTCCATAAGCTTTTCATAACATATCTAAGAAGGTGTAACTTCAGTTGGAAATATCCCCATACAGCTGGAAATCATCCAGTGAATTATACTGAACTAAATCTACATAGAAAGATACCTTGGTACTCATTGGTAATTGCGTCTGGAAGACACAATGAGTACTAAAAACGATGAGTACCAAACAGATTTTTCTCATAAAGAATTAGAGAGTCACAATACAGCCGATACTGACAAATGTTAACTTGTGCATTGAATACCAAACAAATGAGATTATCGGGACAAAATTTTCACATCAAAATGAGTTGAGTACCAAATTCGACAAGTTTCAAAGCAGTTGAACACCAAGATACCATTGTATTATTAAATTTATTGTGTCTGTAATCTATAACTAAGCAAAAATGGGGCATAGCAGACCAAACATGTCAAGGTACCTCAAAATGAGTTAACTTCTAGAATATGTCCAAAATCTGAGATTCATGATATTCCCAAAGAACTGAAATTTGGTTAATTTTATAAAACAGTGTATGACATAAAAATTATCCTAAAAGCAATGGAGGACATAATACAAAATGTCATAAAACATTTCCTGTAGTCAACTCCTGATGTTTGACTATGCTATACAGTTCAACATGGGCTCCTTTTGAGGCAGATACAACTCTGAATATCTTCCTGAATTTTTAAGAACTGTTCAAATACATTAGAATCTCTGCCAGTGTTGAAGGCACTGAGGGATCTGGTAAGGAAATAACTCTGAAATTATAAAACAAGGGGTTGTCTAGTGTTGGAAGAAATGTCTTTCTGGATTCAGTTCCAAGTGGGGAAAAAAACACTGGAAACATGGAAGCTGCTTGGAAAGATGGTTTAATGTTGGACAGGACCACATGGATTGAGGTCCTGGGGAAAAAGGTGATGACATGCTTCCAGATGTTGGATGGAGAAGAAAAGAGCAAGAAGGGCTGAAAGTTCCTGGCTTTATATTCTCTGTTCGGCCCCACCTCCCTGTTTCCTTTTCCTGTGTAAGAAATGTATTCTGATTGGTTGTGAGACTCCCATGGGGCCATACAGGGTCAACTCTTTAGGTTGTGCTTTGAGTCCAGGTTTGTTTGAGCATTTCTTTTTCCCAGGTGCCCTGTGGTGAGATGAGTAAAGGGCTAATACTATCATGTCTTAATCCCATCACCCTGGAACTGAAGGGGGATCTTTGTTATGTAGAATAGACTGGCCCAGACTTTTTAAATGGCCCATTAACAAAGGTGGGGGCTATTAAGAGTGAGTCTGTTTCCTGCCTAAAAACATGTTTCTCCATTTCTTATCCAGGAAAATATAATATTCTGCCTTTTCAATATTTCCCAGGATATTTTATTTTTCTAGGAGAAGGGTAGGTGCTAACTTCCTACACTAGTTAATATTATTTGTAAAAACCTTTGCCATATCTTTAAAAACTACCATTTTCAGAACAGAATATTTTCAGCAGAATTTTCTGTTTTAATGATGGGAAATACCCGTCTCTTCTGAAAAAAAAATAGTTTAATAATCTTATGTCCAGTACAATCCTGTGCAAGCAAATCAAAACAGAGTCTCCTCATAATAAGAGGGCTTTGTAAGGAACATATGGACAGGTCTGGGCAGCAAAGGACATATATAAACTTCTAAACCAGTGTTTCTCAACCTTGGTAACTTGAAGATGTCTGGACTTCAACTCCCAGAATTCCCCAGCCAGTGAATGCTGGCTGGGGAATTCTGGGAATTGAAGTCCGGACATCTTCAAGTTGCAAGGTTGAGAAACACTGTTCTAAACCATCTTGAGATGAGTCTTGGTATTCAAGGTCTCAGGGATAATGCCAGATATTTGGCATTATCGGTTGAACTGGTATACTGTGTAATGTTCTTTTGCTGGAGTTACTTCCAAGTTGGTTTTGTTTGGGTCTCTTGAAGCCTCTGGGTGGCCTTGACCCACCGAGAAGCATATGTTTAATATCATGGCTCCCACTGCAAAGTTCTAACCTGCCTCCAATCACGCTTAGGTTGAATTAATGACACAGCCTATAGGCAAATTTGCTTTTCTCACAGGAAAACTGCAGCAGCTGTTTTCCATAACTTCTTTTGTCAGGATGGTAGTAGGAAAAAAAATTGGGGGAGTAGACAAAAGAAGATGAGAGAACTGGAGTGAGAAAGCCCATCCAAATGTAATCAAAGCCTAGTCACTTACCATGGTGAGATTCCCCCCCCCCCCCCCCCCGCAATGAAAACGGCAGCCTCATGAACCACAAAGTTAAGGATATTTGATCTCCCTCACAACACAATGGGTGGCACACTCTAAAGCAAACCAGATTAAGCCCACCCATTGAACATTGTGCTGGAGAGAAACAGAGAAGGGGGGAAGGGAAAAGCAAGGCAAGAAGGCATCTCTTTCATCATCAGTTTTATTCCTGATCATCCTAATATACCATACAAAAATGATCTTAACTGGGATATTCAGAAAGATCTACTACGTAGACCAATGCTTGGTTTTTTTCATACAGAGATAATAAATGAGAAGGATATTCCCAACACAAATGAGAAGGCTTGTACTATTTGTGAAAAAACAAACAAACCCACGTTCATGTGCAGAAACAATGCTTCGAAAACAGAGTCCCCAAATGCAGTAGTTAGGCCTGTTTCACAAATTACATTGTCATAAATATGTAAAGGCACCTAACGCCGTAAAGACTCTTAGTATATCGACGAAGTATTTCAGTCTATAAATGTAAAGTATGGAGGTACAAACTCAGGTCTTGAGAGGGTCCCAGCTGCCAATTCCTACATCACAATTTCCCAAACCATGTTCCTTTGAACCTTAGGGTTCCACAAAATGTGATGAAGTTCTGTGTGAGGCTAAAGGGGAAACAAAACAATTCTGGAGAAGTTTCCTGAGGATGGGCTCCAGCACAGGTTAGAAGAATAAACCTTTGGTGTTGGTGACCAATTCAATTTCGGCTCTGCAACATGATCCTGGGACATGTATATTTACTTTCATTCGCAAAACAAAACAAGTTCATCAAGCACAACAAAGCTTTGCCTCTTCATCAGGGGCCAAGGACAACAAGAAGGTTCCATGGTCTGAAAAATTTTGAGAAGTTCTGTCCTGGACCAGAGGTGAGTTGCCATTTTCTTTACTACCAGTTCGGGCACGCTCTTGTGCGCGCTCGCATGTACAGAAGTGTCCGGGCGGGTGGGCGGTGCCTCCCGCCACCACTACTACCAGTTCAGCCAATCCGGGTCGAACTGGTAGCAACCCACCTCTGTCCTGGACCATCCTGCCTTGCTTAGTTTTTCCTGCTCCTTGACTTCTAGCTAGCATGCTGATTGGGAAGTCAGGGAGCTGAAGTCCACATATCTTACACTAGTTAAGACTGAGAAACACTCTTCTATACAATCACATTAGAAGAGGAACAACCCAGGGGTGAAATGCTACTTGTTCGGGATGGTTCACCCCAGAGGTGGGTTCCTACCAGTTCGCACCTATTCAGTAGAACCGGTTCGTCAAATCTCCCGAACCAGTTAGAAGAGGTTCCACCA